CATTCACCATTTCAATATTTCTATTTCTTAAGGATGTTTCCTTAAGGTTGTACTCCCTCCCTCCGAATTTAAATTGTCTGTTATCTTTTTTTATCCGTCCCAACATAAGTTGTCAGTTTCTTATAATAATAAAATTTTAAGAGTAAAATACCTAAACTACCCCTAAAATAAGTCACTCATCTACACCTTATCTTCTCATTCCTTGACACCCTCATAAAAAAACTAAGGCATTTTTGAAAAGTCAACACTATTTTTTCCTTTCTTAAATATGTCTCAAAATCAAAACAAGCAATATAAAATGGGACGGAAAGAGTACAAAACAAGAAAAGGGACTTAGCCATTAAAGTCCGTGTGGTTCGAGCATAGCGAAATCCGCCATTCGGTTCTCGAGAGGGAACACTCCAGCTTTTTTTCATGACCAACAAGTCGAATTAACTATATAGATATTTTATCACACACACACACACACACACACAGACACACACACACATACACACACACACACATACACACATACACACATACACACACACATACACACATACATACATGCATGCATACATACATACATACATACATACATAGATATATATATATATACACACACACACACACACATGTATGGAAATAAAATATAATATGTGTGTGTGTGTGTGTTTGAATCGTTGGTTCAACCACTCAAACCACTAATTCGGCCAGTGAATCAGAGCCTTGACTGGTTTGGTGCTTTGTTCGATTTTTAAAACTATGGTCCCAAGTTTAAGTGCTAAATTTGGTAGAGCAATCTTGTATACTTCTTCTATCCAAGAATAATGTTTTCGCTCACTATTCACATTATCAGACTTTAATCACTTTGTTGACGTGTTTTTCGTTGTCCATTTAATAAAATAATATAGTCATGTCACCTCTAGTTCTCTGTAAGTCTTTTCATGTAGTTTTTTAAATAATATAGGTCATTAATCATTAATTTTAAAACCATATGATTTTTTTATATAAAATAATTCAGTCAAACATCGTAAGCACAATGAGAACATTATTATTGGACGGAAGGAGTCATTTGAATGAGAAGTTTCTTGTAAAATGCAAAAAAAAGGTTTGCGTAGTTTGGGTGGGAACAACGGACGAAGATGAGTGGTCGAACAAACGAACAAACTTACTTCAATCTTAAAATATTATACAAACTTAAAATGCAGCATATCACCTCTAACCAATTACTCAAAACAAATTTAATCAAATTTTCACTTCTTTTTATAGTCCGCAATTTTAAAAAATGCATTAAAATATAAAAAAATACTGCATAAAAAATAAGTACATAAACCACATATATGACCACAAAAAGCAACAAAAAATGGAAATTACTTGGTATAAAAATGTGTTGAGCTACAATGCTACACAAACTCCTCATAAGCACTTGAGTGTGCGTAGAAAAATGTGCTATGAAGCTTGAAAGGGAGCAACACAAGTGACCAAAAAGTGATGAAGTGAAGATGTAGTTTTAATTGGTTGAAAAAAGGGAAATGCCACAGGGTCAAGCTCCACTACATATGGCCTTAGAAGAGAACCATTTATATAACATTTTATACAAATCCAACATCTTGAAACGAAAAAAAAACTACGTAACATGTCTCTTCCTATTTAGACTTGACCGAGATTTAATACGAAATTTTTAAAAAATTGACTTTCTTATTTTACACTTGTTAGGGTAGTTATTTTTTTTTAAAAAAAAGTAAAAAATGTGAATAGTGATATTAAATGAGTTAGTAATGGATTGTGGGTAAAATAGTCAATTTTGTTTTTTTGCTCATTTGCTTACTAGAGTGATGGTTGTTCCACCAGTTTGTATTGGGATGCACTATATGGTGAAACTACGGAGTATGAATCAATGCATGAAGTCCTTTTCAAAAAAAAGAGAGGAAAGAGGAAGAAAAATAAGGAGTATGTGACAGACCAAAAAGAAACTTACTGGTAATAAATAAACAAGATATTATGTTGGAACTAGTTCAATATGTATCACCTTTAGAAGCTGAAGATAGATGTAAGACCATCCACATGCCAAAGAAATTTTGCTTTAAATAATGAAGGATGAGAGACACTTTCCAGTTGATGATAGTAATACCAGGTGGTTGCTGAAGCAAAGTCTTTCAAAGCCCAGCTTTTCTTCTTCTACAAGGACTGGTTTTCGACAACACTCAGTTCTTGGCCTTGAGAGAATTGTTCTCCTTGATCCTTGCTCGGTTATCCAGCTTGACAAAGCGTTTGAGTTCCTCGTACGGGAGCGACTCCAAGTCTTTCCTTCTTAGCTCACTGAGTGCTGGTTTCTTATCTAGCAAGTGCCATAGCCACTCAGGGTACTCGTTATCGGGCAACACCTTGGGGTCTGTTCCGTCCTTGAGTATATTAGCACCGACGACTGTTGTTGATTTCACTTCCTTGCTGAGAGAAGACACTTTTGGGCCATCTGTCGCACCGCCTCCTTTTGAGCCCTTCTTTGCTTTGCCTCCTCCGGCGGCAAATGTTCTGCAGCCAATCACTCTGGCTATCTCTTTGGGGAAGGTGACACTTTTGAACGATCTCATGTAACTAATCGCCATTTCTTTGTACTCTGGTGCAAAAACAAATAATGCAAGTGAGATAGTGTGATAGAGTAGCAGTAGCCAATTTTTTAGAAGATATTGAATGCTTTAGTTAATTCAATTTACATTATCAAACAAAAACAACAATAACAACACCAAGATAATCCCAACTCAAAGTACAGGACCGGAAACCAGACTTGTTAGATTTCGGTCTGGACCTGTTTTTTCCGGTACAGTCCGGGTAAAAACCGGAAAACCCGGATCTAGCAATAGGCATAATTTTCAGTTACAAATGAAAGAAATCTGGAACCTAGTTTTTATAATTAGTGTCATGTTCCAAATGTTACAAATCAAGTCTCAAACACAAGTACATGAAAAAAAATTAAATTTCAATAGCAAATTCAAATTCATATAATACTAAGAGCATTATTCATAATAAACTATAATTGAGTTAAAGAACCCGTGCCTGCAATTTTTGAGCTCCAAGCACTGAAAATGATTTAAAACTTAAAGTGATTTGTATAAAAAATGACTAAGGAGCTTCAAGAACCTGACTCCAGTCTGCTCTAATGGATCTATTCATACTTTTAGTAACAATAGCAAGCTTAAAGTTGAAATATGCAGAGGTCTAACACAAAAATGGCAAAATTGATGTAGAGCCAGACCTCACTTACATTCATTCATTATATGATATTTCACACAAAAAAAGATATGCAAATAAAAACAGGGAGATCCTAAAAACTATGAAGTAATTCAACATCTATGGAAGATTGAGATTCGCCCAAGCTGGAAGATAGAAAAGAAAATTAAAAAAAGAAGCAAAAAACCGAAGAGGTTCAAATCTGACCTGTGAGTCGTACAGTCGACCGAGTCAGCTGCGTCGCGCCGTCGCCGGCAGATCTTCAGCTCCGTCTGTTACTCCCGTCGGTAGAAACTGGATACTCGAATCTGGGATGCTGCTACTTGCGATCGGAATTTGCTATCGAGTGAGAGAGTTGCGATCGATGATTGGGACTTTGCTTATAGGTTCTGTGACTATTGAGGGATTTGGGCATTTTGGGAATTTGAGCTAGAAAATGGAGTGGGCTAGAAATATTAAATGGATTGGGCTAGATGGGTACAAATATAAAATACTAAAAATACGTTAAACCCGGTTTACCGATCTAACCCGGTAAAATTCCAGGCCTAGACCGAAATTGACAGGTCTAACCTAAGCTCGGACTTACTAGAAACAGGTCCAACCCAGAAGCAGTTATAGAGGTTCAGTTTATAAGTTCGACCAGGATTCTGTATAACCCTAATTTCAAATATTAAAATCGGTAGTCTTTAGAATGTAGATAATAGCACTGTGACAATACCCAGATAGACAACAATGCTAAGTTGGTGTCTAAAAATCATATTCACAGGGGGGTTTGAAACACAAACAACTAAGGACACAAATCACTGGATCTAAGCAAACTAAGAGCAAATTGCTCAATCCCATCTAAAAACTTATAAATAACCTACTAGGTCATATCTTTGCAAATTCAAGTTTTGTTTATGATGTAGATTCCGACCAGCTCTCCGAATGGGAGATACTCCTCAGTTCTCTCTTGTATTTTCGTTGCAACGAAGAAGAAAAACGAAGGACACGGACACGTTGTAGAAAAACAGCGGATACTCCTCGGTTTTATACTCCATGTATTCCCGAACCCTAACATTTCATAATCAAACACAGCGAAAAGGGGGGATACGTTGTAGATATATACCATCACCAAGAGATTCTATTGCATTCAGATATCAGATCCAGCTTCTTCTTCTTCTTCTTTTGACAAAAATACAGAGAAAGGGGAGAGCTAAGGAGTGGCTGGTCTGGAATTTACATACTCCGTAATAAACAAAGTCTGAAACTGCAAATGAGTGATCTAGCAGCTTATTTATAAGTTTTTAGATGGGATTGAGCAATTTGTTCTTAGGTTTATTGGATTGAATGGTTTTGTGCTCTTAGTTGTTTTTGGACCGGGTCAATTTTATTTTTTCATTTTTCGGGATCGGCCCTGAGAGCAGTGTTGTCGATTTGGGTATCAATACAGTCCCTATTATCCAAATTCAAAACTTAGCTTCTCCCGAAGGCTATTGATTTTAATCATTACAATTTGCCGATGCCAAAAGTTGAGTTTGAACACCTGACATATAATTTAGAAGAACTACAACGTTTCCACTAGACCATAATGTGTTTTGCTACATTTTTCCTCTATTTCAATCACATCACATAAAATTTATCTTAATACCCATGTTTTCCTTTGTTATTTCATTTGTGGCTTTGCTTTGAAACGGATCGATCATTTTAATAAAAAAAGAGTACTATGAGGAGTCTAAGATTTTGACACTAAATACCTATCAAAGCGAATACAAAAACACACGAATACTAAATATTCGTATGCGTCTCTGTATTAGTCTTGATATACACTTGGTGTCAAATGCTTGGAGAGTTGGAGTCTACTTATCATTTTTGTTTGATCAATCACTACGGAAGACGACGGGAAGAGAGGAGAGGCAATGGGGTGTTTGAATGTTTCCTAATGGAGTGTAGGGACAAAAATGGAATTGCAGTGTGTGGAAGCAAGGCGAGCGGAAAGTCAAGCTAACAGTCGTCTCCCACAAGTCTTGCTTCCCCCACCTGTCTCCCCCCCTCCCCTTTCGCTTTCACGCGGCCGAGCCCAAAGCCTTCCTTCCTTCCTTCTTTGACCGCTTCAACCTGCCCAAAACCATCAATTCCCCCATTCATTCATTCATCATCATCATCATCTTCTTCTTCTCTGTGGTTTCTAAGCTCTCTATCTCCCGCAGCTCCTCGAGATCTACTGCTCACACTGTAACTTCACTTTCTCCAGATCTCCCTTCTTCGAGCTTTTTTTTCTCCCTGTGTTGCTGTTATTGTTAAATTCATAGATTTATATCATAATTGAAGCCATGCGCAGATGGATTTTCATGTTTTGATCGAATATTTGCTCTGTTTTCACTCTTGTCATGAGTCCTGATCGAGGTTTACTTTTGTTGTTTCTGTGTGTGAAGTTTTTATCAACAAGGACGTTTTCTGTTTTCTTATGTTGTTGTTTTTTTTCTCAATGAGGGGTTCTCTTTCAGTGCTCTGAGTGGATGATATCTGGGGTGACTGAACTAGAATTTAACTGAATTTGGCATCTAATTATTACTCCTACCCTCCCGCAAAAAAACTTCACTTTATTTTTAAAGAAAAGAATGATTGGCTTATAACTTTTCTCTGTCCTCTTGAACAAATCATTTATGTATGTTGGACTCCATTGGTTCTTCTATGTCCTCCTTTTTTCAAACTTCTCATTATGTCCTCTCTTTGTTTTACTTAGTTTAAGAAAGAGAAATAGTGCGGTTTAGATTTATGTAGAAAGGGTTTTGGGGTTCTGCATAATTCTTCTGTTGAAAAGAAATGGTAAGATTCACCAAGGCATGTTCAAAACGGAAAAGGGGAAGATTAAAAAGCGTTTAGTTGCTTGTTTGGAATAGAGTCTGATGATCCACAAGGAACTGTTGGTGGTTTCTTCACTCTCGTGCTAGTTATGCATCTTGAAATGATGCACTTAGCTTTATGAGTAATGATTTTATTTGAGATAAAGACTTTGTTTCACAACACGATAGTCCATAACTGCTTCGTCTATGTCTTATTATCGGCTCATGCGGATTGGTCTGAAATGCAAATTCAATCTCTTGTTTGTTCCCTATTCAGTTTCTTCGACTCAATTCATAGTAATTTATTGCATTTGCAAATTATACAAGATTATATTTCTTGGTATCAGTGATTTGTGTTATAATTACAATAAAAAACTATCTCTTGATACGAAAAATCCTTTGGCTGTTTTCAGGTTCTTGCAAATGAGAATATAATGAGATTGATATTTGATGTTGAAGTTGCACGTACTAGTTTGTATGGGTACTGAATGTACTGATCAGGCTACAATTTTAGAAAGTTATTATCATCAGTGAGCACAGTGCTGGATTGCAGACCTACGACGCTACCATCATGTTTTGGACTTTCTTTTTCTGTTTCCTATTGAGTAACAGTCTTTGTTACTGTCTTCAGAGTGATATTGATTGTCTTAGATCAATTAAGTCATCTTTGAAAGATCCAAAAGGCTTCTTGTCTAATTGGGATTTCAATAACAACACTGAAGGATCCATCTGTAGATTTTCAGGGATTGATTGCTGGCATATCGATGAAAGCAAGGTTCTCAATATCCGTCTTCCGTATATGGAACTCAAGGGAAGCTTTCCACCTGGCCTACAGAACTGCTCAGCTTTGACCGGGTTAGATCTTTCTAACAACCAGATCAACGGGCCCATTCCATCAAACATCTCCAAAATCCTTCGTTTCGTGACTACTCTTGACCTCTCATCCAACAACTTGTCTGGAGGGATCCCCGAGAACCTTGCAAATTGTACCTTCTTGAATGTTATTAATCTTGAAAACAACCAGTTGACTGGTCCAATTCCTCTCGAACTGGGTCTCCTCAGTCGAATCAAGACATTTAGAGTGGCAAATAATCATTTGAAAGGGCAAGTTCCAACCTTTGGAAAGCTCACTCCTGAAGTTAGTTATGCCAATAATTCTGGACTATGTGGGGCCCCATCATTGCCACGATGCAAGGTTGCATCAAAAAAAGAAAACCCTGGATTGATTGTTGGTGCAGCTGCTGGTGGGGTTACTTTTGGAATTATTGTATTGGCAAGTGCCATATGCTTCTATTTGCGTAGGACATCCAGGAAAAAGGAAGAAGATCCTGATGGTAATAAGTGGGCAATGAGTATTAGGGGCGCCAAAACCATCAAGGTACGAAATTGTATTTTTTTGCGCGTAATATCATTACATTTGCAAAATTTGCACTACCTCCATCCTCAAAAAATGTATATGTCGTCAAGTTATAACTTTTGCAAAATATCAATCCAGCATTTCCTTCTTGACATTTTTACATTTGTTTGTTTGTTTGTTTGTTTGTTTGTTCAATTAAGCTAACATACTTGCCTTATTGTAGCTGTTTTTCAGGGAGTTGCATTAGATTCCATGAAAATTAGCCTCTCTTTTTTTAAAAAAAAATTGTACTTTTTTTTTTGCCAAAATTAGGTAATGGAACACATTGAACTTTACATTTTGAAGGGGGGGTGGGGGGTGGGTGGGGGGATTAGGGATCTCTTAACATTTGCATTTGTTATAGGTATACTCCCTCCGCCCCAAAACAATTTGCCATGTTTTGACTCTTTTGGTCTAGTATGTTTAATTTTGACATTTGTTTTGTGTAATTTTTGTTGCAATTTAAAACATACACATAAATTTAGATGTTTAACAATGACAATGTATTACAGTATTGGTAGAAGAGAAAAGGTAAAAGAAATTAAGAAAAAACCCACCTCCAAGATTTCCAAATTTGGGGGACGGGGGTTTGAGGATATTAGAGGATTTATCCACTTTTCTCCCCATATCAAACACACACACACACACACAATTCATTTACTTTTTTCTCGCCCTCCAAAATCATCAAAACCTGAGAGCTGCATAATGTGATCTGTCTTTTCTAACAATGATACTTTTATTTCAGCTCTCTATGTTTGAAAAGTCTGTTTCGAAAATGAGATTAAGTGATCTCATGCAAGCTACCGAAAACTTCAACAAAAGCAACATAATCGGGTCAGGAAGAACGGGGACTCTTTACAAGGCAGTTCTTTCTGACGGCACACCTCTAATGATTAAGAGATTGCAAAACACCCAACACTCTGAGAAAGAATTTGCATCTGAGATGGCCACTCTTGGAACAGTTAAAAATTGCAATTTAGTCCCTCTTTTGGGGTTTTGTATGGCTAAACAAGAGAGGCTGTTGGTCTATAAGTACATGCCAAATGGGACCCTACACGACAAGTTACACCTTCCGGACAATGGGGAAAAACCAAGACATCTAGATTGGACTTTGAGACTGAAAGTCGCTGTTGGGACGGCCAAGGGGTTTGCGTGGCTCCACCACAGCTGTAACCCCAGAATCCTCCACCGGAACATAAGTTCCAAATGCATCTTATTGGACGAAGATTACGAGCCGAAGATATCTGATTTTGGGCTGGCCCGGCTCATGAACCCGATCGACACCCATTTGAGCACTTTCGTGAACGGTGAGTTTGGGGACTTTGGTTACGTCGCGCCCGAGTATTTGAGAACTTTGGTCGCCACCCCGAAGGGAGACGTCTACAGTTTTGGGGTAGTCCTGCTGGAGTTGGTCACAGGCGAGATGCCCGCGTACGTGAGCAAAGCCCCGGAGAGCTTCAAGGGGAGTTTGGTGGAATGGGTCGCTGTTCTTTCGCGCGAATCTAGGCTTGAAGATTCGATCGACCAGTCTCTGATGGGGAAGGGGTGTGACGAGGAGGTTCTCCAGGTTCTTAAGGTTGCTTGTCGTTGTGTTCTTCCGGATGTTCCCAAGGAGAGGCCATCCATGTTTGAGGTGTACCAATTTCTGAGAGCCATCGGGGAGCGTTACAGTTTCACGACGGATGCTGACATCATCTTGCCCGAGGAGATAGACGACGGGTTTCGGTTAGATGAGCTGATCGTGGCTCGAGAGGTATGACTGGTCGGAGTAACACATATTCCCTCTATTATTCCTTTTAAACTGACTATTATTGTATCGTTCTTGATACATCGAAAAATGAATGAATGTAGACATGATGTATGTCTATATTCATTCATTTTGCAATGTATCAAGAAAGTCGTAATGGTGAGTTAAAAAGGAATGAGGGGGGTGTACTCCGTTACTATAATGTGATATAGTATATAGACCATTTAAAAAAATAATACGGAGTACTCCCCCATAGGTTATGAACCATAATTTTCTGCAAGTTTTGTTTGTTGCACTAAAGTTTGTTGTATTCCAAGTTATGATTTCTGGTGTTCTATAATATGTATATATAAACCACGGTTATACAACTGTCTCCAATTGCCATTTTTGTTGAATTAGTATGTAACATTTATTAATTCACAGTACCCATTTCCTAAAGCACAATGGTGGTTTTGTTCTTGCGGAACTGATTTCTGTATGGTTTGGTGATTATGATTTGCATTTGTTTGAAGTGGATCTAAGGAGAGGTGCTTTTGATAACAACAAATTAAATTGTATATTTACTATTCATATGGTCAAACATTATTTATTTTCTTTACTTATTTTTGTTACTCATTTGATTTTATGTCACATCTTGTTTAGTAGAGTTTTTGATGTAGTTTAAGTAAAAAGATTTTATTTTTTTATTCTGTCCCAAATTTAAAATAAATTAATTTGAAAATAATTGTATTCAAACATCGTAAACTACAGCAGACAATCTAAATTGCGATGAAAGGAGTACTTGGGAGTATATTTTTGTCTCAAACAAAGAATCCAATTTGAGAAAAAAGTTTGATTTTCATGATAATTATTTTTTTTTTCAATTAAAAAAATATGTTAAATGTGCTAAAGTTAGTTTTAAGAAAAACAATTTAGGGTTCATCCAATGATATGAGTTTTGGTGATATAATAAATTCTAATATTTCTCAAACACGTGTTGACATCACATTCTTTTTGTGGGTTTTTGGTGGAATATAAAGATGGTTTTAGATTATACCCAGTATATAATTTCTTTCAAATTTTAAAATTCATATCATATCTACTTTCAACTTGCGAGTATATAATTTCTTTCAGATTTCAAAATTCATACTTGCGAGGAGGGGAGAGAGATGGGCAAAGTTTGGTTGGTGATACAAAAACGCATAAAGGAAAAACAACCAAATTAATGTGTTGTACAAATGATAAATGTACATTCCGTAAAGAAGAGGTCTCTGCTAGCCATCCCCGTGTGCCCCTAAAAGATTTACAGTGTATCTTCTATATATATAGTACATACAAAATTCCTAAAATGTAAATGCACATTTTAGCTGAGGTTAGATATGGTATCATGTCAGCCCAATTGGGGTAAAAAAAAAAAAAACTACCCTGCAGTAAATAGTGATGATCAAAAGGTTGGAGTGGGGAGCGCCCTCCTCTCCCATGGAGGGATTTGCAGGAACTGGGAATTCATTAGCAGAAACCAGAGGAATACTTACTTTCAGCCAGCTCACTCATGGCTTCCACTTCTTTACACACGCGATCGAGCGTTGCCACGAAATCCCTCACGACTGTGAAGATCCTGAAAGGGTGGGCGTCTTCCTTGGCAGAATCCCCATGGAAGTACTCGGTTATCTCCTTCACTAGGGACAGGGCAACGCTTTCTTGCGCCTGCACCTTAACGATCTCCTCCTCTGCCACTTCCATGAACCTCTTCATCGATTCGGAAAACTTTCTGTCCATCTTGCCCCCACTCATCTGGGAAATCTTCACCATCCCTTCGGACAGCTTCAGAACGTCGCTGTGGAGGACTTCTGAATCCATGGTCGCGGCTTTCTTCACGTTCGTTAGCTCGGATGAGATTCTGGAGACCTGCTGGAGGCCGAGCTTTCGGAACTTGCGTTGATCTACTCCTGTTGGTGGGGTTTCGTGTTTGCTTGGAGAAGAAAGCTTAGCACCTTCGCTCCTCACGATCTCCTGGACCACGAAATGCAAGAGGGTGGTTTTGCCATCGGTCCCTTTGACGTAGACCAGCTTGAGGAGAGTGTCGAGCTTAAATGCGTGTGCTTCTCCACGGTTCGTCCCCACATTCATCCGGTTCCCGGTTTTCAGAACAGCTTCCAGAAGCTTCAGAAACATCCTGCTGCTCCTCAACTCCTCACAAGCAGCCTGCGAATCAGAACACAACAATGTGATTACAACAAATTAAGGGACTAAGGCTGCGTTCCATTCGCCTGATTTGATTTGATTTTTTGATCTAATCTGATCTGATTTTAATAAGAATAAGCAATAAGATGAAAAAAATAAGTTGAATGGAACGGATCCTAAATATTGTATTGCCAAAACTAGATTTGGTATGAACCCAAAGCTGGGTACCAAGAGCTTTAGCGTTTTGAAAAAGGCTATCTAATAACAGCATTTAGCTTTAGCACTTTGAAAGTTAACTTGCACCATAAATTGTCCAAAACGTCAACACTAATTGAAAACGGCATTTCCCAAACAAGGTTTATATTCCACTCAAGTACCTCGAGAGTTTTCAATGACTTTTTGAGGTAGTCGACATCGGAGTCAAAATTTGAGATGTAAAGCATTGCGTCCACTCTTTTGAAGGCAAAAGGTACACCAAGTACTGCCTTGAGAAATTTCTCAGCTGGTCCAAGCTTGAATGGTGAATCGTCATCATCTGCATACTTCCTAAGCTTGTTCTCTTCCTCTTTAGATGGTGCCATCTTCAACAAGCTCTCAAGAACCTCAGTTCCAAGGGCATCAACATTTCCTGAATAGCGAGTAAAATTTTAGTCATGACAATCTTGATGTCATCGATCCCATATAAAAATATAAACCATCATTTAAGGCATTAGATGTAACACAAGATGTAAAAAATAATAATGGAAAAATATTTCTATATTGAATTGTCTTGCAGATTACAAAGGCTCAACCTTCTTTATATAGGAAGAGGGAGAATAAATAAGTAAAGTTCTATTCCTAACATAACAAGAACAGGAAAAACTAGGAAAGATTTCTTTCTTTTCGCGTAGCATTTTACGAGTTTCAAATGTACTGTTTATCATCTTTTTCTTCATATCCCATGTACTCCGTATATTAATGCAGCCATTACAAATATCCACCAATGATCAAATATTGGATTCTCACAGTTGCCAAATTTGCCGAACTAATGGAAGCACCAAATCTTAAAAGATAACTGCTTATGGAAACAAATTAAACCCAAAAAGATTGTGAGATTAATCATATTGGCATTTTAGAAGCAACCTGTCTTCTACCAAGAGATGAAGAGTGCCTCTCTACTACCAAGAAGAGATTTTGTATGTGTGTATCAGTGTGTGTGTGTGTGAGAGAGAGAGAGCAGAGATGCAGAGGGTGGCTTTATTGAGAGAACAAGCGCCGGCAGGAGGGCACAGGGAGGAACAGCACATGGTTTGGGGAAAGATTAGTTTTTTTTTAAATGTGACTAGAAGAGAGGCTCGGATACCATAAAAAATCTGTATATTCAATGAAGATAATGAGTAGTATAAGCAATATATAGGGGGTGGTCAGCTACGCTAGGTATTCTACATGGGCCGGGGCAGTCTAACTACAACTGTATACATATGAACAAGTGAACAACTGGTCTATACAATATATTTTATCAGTATGCATAAACACACTCCCACCCTCCCCATACCCTATTTTTTGTGGGATTATACTAGGTATGTTGTCTGTTGTTGATCATCATCTTGGCATAAATCAAAAAACCAAACACACTCATTGAATCCATTCCAGAATATTGGGAATGATGTAAGTAGACCTTATACATAGGCAGAATGCAATTAGAGATAGCAAAATGCTATACAAGTTTACTTACACTATTTTTGGTTCAAGGAATTTGGATGGAAAAGAAAAGGAAATGGTTTTCTTTTATTTTCCTCACCAAAAAGGGGAGGAATTTGGTTTTCCGTCTTAATACATCGTGTCTTCTCATTTTCTTTTCCTCTCAAGTCTCAAACCAAACAAGAAAAATTGTTTTTTATCTCATTATCTTTTCTTTTCCCTTTCAAATTCCTCAGTGAATAATTTAAAGAAAAGGAATACGGAGTATGAAGTACCTTCTAAAAGAGCTTCACATACTTCCTCAATGGTGACATTTAGGGCCCTCAGTGAGATTGCAATGTTTTGCGACCTCTTCGGATCAAGAACCCTGTGTTCTTGGTTCTGGGAGTGAAGAAGAGAACGCCGAGTTGTTTCCATTTGCTTTGGATTTGGGGCATTAGCGACAAACAATGTCTCGATCATCTCCTCATTCACCCTGCAACATGGTTGAAATCAATTGTTATATATAGAACAAAGGGAAAAAATCAAGAACAAATTAACAAGAATTTCAATTGATCGTACTTGAAAGAGCTTGATTTGAGATGATCCCACACAGTTTCATGCTCAGAACTTGCTCTCACTTTATCCCAATGCAATGGTTTCAGTTTCGTTTTCTGGACATTTTCACTTGAAGAAACTTCTTCACTCTTAGCTGTTGTGGGCAATAATGGAGTCAATTCAGAGGTTGCCCTTCGAGATGGAGGGATAGGGGCAATTGGATTTTCTATATGTTTAGCTTTGGGAGGCAGGGGTGCTACCGGTAGCCGTGGAGGTGGTGGTGGCGGAGCAGAAACAGAGACGCAATGCTGCGGTGGGATCGCCTGAGATTCCACCGGGGAACCCAGACTAGGACTGCTGGTTTTTGCAGGAGATTGTGTTTTTTTATCCCAAATTCCTGATATCATAGGAGATGATCCAATGCTTCTGACAGAAATTATCTCAGGCGAGCATGAAGTGGCCAATGAAGGTGACTGAGAATCTCTCGCAGGGAAGTGAGATGGAAAAGAATGAGCCCGTGCCGGAGGAATGATCTGAACAGCCACCAATTCCGGCGACTTGGGAATAGTGCGTTTAGGGTTTAAAATCTGCGGCCGGGGAGGCGAGATACTCAGTGAGACAGACCTCCGGGGCGAGCCTGATCCGGAACTAGACGAAGTGTATGAAGATGAAGAAGACGAAGTAGACCCACCACCGGAATTCTCGACTTCAGTCGCGCCGACAGCTCCCCCGATACCCGATCCGATTGTCATCGACGATCCTCCGGGGGTGTAAAACTCCTCACCCTCGCCGTCCGTTACTGGAACCCGCTGTGCGTTGGTATACTTCTGCCTGAAACCCAGACCGTCAAGGCGGGTCAACGGGAGAAGCTCCGGCGAGTCTATTTTTCTCGAAGCTGGAGCAGGGGATTCGATTCCTCCGCGAGAATTCGGATCCAGAGTGCCCAAATAGAGAAACTCGGAACTGGGATGAGACGGCCTCCGGAGCTTGGGAACAGCCTGCCGGTTAGCACCAGCTCCGGCACCCTCATTATTACCAACGTCCGATCGGTTACTGAAATCGGATCCATGTGTTTTGGACTCACCTGGATAGTATGACTCTCCCTTCTTCCGGAAATGCAGGAATCCGGCGACGGAGAGGGCGATAACGGCCACAGCTGCGGCGGAGCAGGCGATCGCGGTGGCGATGGGCTTCAGGGTCGGCGACTTGGGTTGCGAAACACGAGGAATGCTGAGGTAAGTGGCGTTCGCGGGGACATTAGCAAGTGCACCCGGAGAAGGCGGGGAGAAAGGAGCATCATCGGAGACGGGAGAAGTGAAAGGATATTCCGGAGAGGCAGTGGCCGGAGGGGAAGGGACCGGAGGTGGAGAATCCACGGGGAAAAAAGGCTGGTGGAGAACGCGGCGGCTGGGAACGGCGGCCGATGAAGTCCAATTCGCACACAAGGCGATGAGAAGAAAAAGGGCGGGACTGCGGTGCATCTCGGCAGCTTCCTAGTGAAGAAGAAGAAGAAGAAGAGCGACCGAAAGAAAAATATTAAAAAAAAACGAGTGTTTTTCTTCTGGAACGCGGCGGAGAGAGAAGGCGGAGGCGTGGTGGACTGAGTCGGCGCGGTGATGCTTCCAGCTAAGCGCCGGGCTGGAAATGCAGTGAGTGCGTCGTCGTCTTCACTTTCATTTCCGTTTCACACTTTAAACACACGTGTGCCCACGTGTTTCTTACTCTCTTCTCAACCCACACTTCGGCTTGCCATGTTACCTCCATCATACGGAGTATATTTCATGGATTATGTTATCTATGTGTACCCCCAATTTGTACCCCACAGTTTTGCACAAACACTTTGTGTTGGTGCAAAACTAATTTTTATTAAACGCACCAACATTTATGTCCGTGTGAATTTTTATTAACGCACCAACACTTGTGTCGGTGTAAACCATCGAAATGTTTGTACAAACCAGTGGTGTACAAATGAGGTATATTTTTTGGTGTAAGTGTAGCATGGTCCATATTTCTTTGTTTGTGTCAAAATAAGGTTAGATTTTAGCGTTAGTGTTTTACATAAAATTTTAATAATGTAAATTACTTTAAAAATGATAACGCTAAATGCTACTCATTGATAATTTTTTTCAAAATGCTAACGTTATTTCTAAATAGACTCATAATGTTGCAACTACTTTTGTCACAACTTATATATGAATAAAACATTCTAAATAATTAAAAATAATACTCTCTCCATCCCAAATTATTTGCCACATTTGTTTTTTTAACAATTGCGGGAACTTTTCATTGATATTTGATAAAATAAAATATTCTTGACACTTCTTATTTCAAAGAACTTTTCATGTAGTTTTTTTATATGTAATTTTTATTATTTATTTTTTTACCAATTTGTAAATTAAATGAATTGAAAAAATTTGATATTTTGCCTCGGTAATAGAAATGTGACAAATAATTTGGAACGGAGGGAGTATTCAATGTACGAATGACAATTTTTTAGTATGGATGAATGAGAGACATACTTTCTAGAATAGGGGTGGACACGGTACCGGTACGGTACCGTGATTGGCAACGGTACCGCCGGTACCTGCCACCGTCACCGCCAGACGGGTCGTTCCACCGGTTCCGGAAACCGGTACCGGAACCGCCCCTCTCGGTACCGGTTCCGGTACCCATTTTTCGGTACCGGCACCGGCGGTTCCGGTACCGGTACCGTTATTATGTTTATTTTGATTTATAATATTTAAATAACAAATACATTTTTAGATTTTTTTATTTCATTCTTTTCTTTACCAATTGCATTTTTAAATTTTTTTATTTCATTCTTTTCCTTTAACAATTGCACATTTATAATTTTACACTTTAAAAATTTAATAAAAAAGCAAAAAAAAATTTGAGGGTGGCCGAAAATGGCCGGTCTGGTACCAAAGAGTGGCGGTACCGGAACCGGAACCGTACCGTGTCCACCCTTATTCTAGAGTAGTGTTTTTTTAAGGCAGAGTAGTGTTTAGTTTGTAGTCAAATTTAGATGAATTAAAATTTTAAGAGTTCAATAATCGATGCCTTAAACAATACAAAATCAGTAAAAGTTTAAATGTTTTTTTTTAAATAAATAAATAAATCAGTAAAGATATATTGAATTACATCATTAATTTGCTCCATTACTTTCATTGAGTTGAACTATCAAAAGAATAACTCCATCAGCAGCCTCTTCCCAAGCATGTCTCTCATGCCTTCCCTTCAGGATATATACAAGGCCATATCATGATGTTTATGGGAACACATTCTTATAAAATTGGCATTTGCCAAATTAGTACAACAAACACTACCTCAACACTGCCTAAAAAGGATCTAGCTTTCATGTTTTAGATTGTTCCTTTTTAAGATATTGGAGTACTATTTATGCAAATGAAGTGCAATAAAGTAATTGATCAACTTTGTGACCTCAGGGCGATGACATTAAGAAGGTTGAATTGCCACAACCATTCAATAAATCTAAACATGACATACCGAGTAAGACCATATTCTCTTTACCTGATCTGATTGGAATAAGTTCTGATCTGAATGTAATTATATTTAAAGCTATTTCTGATATGAATTGATCTGGTCTGATTTCAATAAGAATAAGTAAAAAAATAAGTTGGGGACAACATGACCTAAGACCGTGTATGAACAAAAGCATCATGTGTGCCACAACCTGTCAAAGCCACTAGCTTCAGCTTCTCCCCTTCACAATCTTTCAGGTCGAGCTTTTCTCGACGCCACACCATTTCCATGAAAGATGAAACTAAGACGGACCAAACTGTACCTAAGGGGAATGCCACTTACAAGACTTCTTCCAACTCTCATCACTCAGAACTTAGCTCAAACGGTAAAACTACTAACTGCTCGGCCTATCTAAACACTCCTGGTCTCCTATGAAGTTGAAATATAGGTGAAAAGTTGAAAATAATTGATCTAAAAAAGTCAAAACTGAACAAATACTCAGGGACGGAGTTACTATTATAAACAATTTACTCGTATCTTTTTATTTCAATCCCTCGGGTTTTCAGTCAATAAGGAGCTGGTGCCCAAAATACTCACCATGCCAAGTGCCAACTAACAAAGATGTGTTATTGATATTTATTCTCAAAACGAAGTTTAATTTTTTTAAGTAAAATTGCGAAAAAACCGAGTGAAAAATAAAAGGTGTGATTGAAATTTGTTTAAAGCAAAGAATTATAAAAACTACATGTTCATTATTTACTAAAATTAAATAAAAAACTATTAATTTTATTTTAGAAATCCGAAAATGAAGGCACTAATGCTTTCTTGAACCTAACGAAACAATGGAGTATAGATTCGGATACAAGAGATGTGTTATCAACTTGCCTCATTTTATATCTTTAAAAAATGTTATTTTATACTTATTCGTGAAGCTTGTCGTTATTTAATTTTTTGTTTAAGCCTATAACACTTTGAACATAAATTAGATACTCTTTATAGTTTTAAACAATTTTATTTATAAACATTTGATATATCAAAATTATACACTTTAAAAAGAATCTAATTTTATTAAATTTGCATCATAACTAAATATTTTTTAAATAAATATTATAACTAAATATAGTTTTCTCAAATTTTCCTTCTAAGTGTTACACACTATGATAAAAAAAGTTAAAATTGACAAAATATAAAAAAAACACTCTACTTAACTAAAGTCAATATAAAAAAAACACTCATAGACTAGAGTCGTACGGAGTATTCAATATTATTATTATCGGTGGGGTTCTAGTGACACTGGGAAACGGTGCCACTAGCGGTGTCACTGCGTTTTTGGGCATCTCCGGTGCTCCGTTCGTAAAATTGACGGTTCCTACTCTCCTAACGAAGTACCAGAGGTGCTCCAAAAACATAGTGACACCGGAGTGGCACCGTTCTCCTGTATATAATTAAAATATTATATTTTATTTTAATTATTGAGTGATGAATGTGTTGAATGCTTATCTTCAAAAAAAATCGTTGAATAAGGAGTACAATGAAAGGCAATGAAAATCAGAGTATTTAAAAGGGCTTCACACTCTGCAAAGCCGCACCAGGGAGCTAAAAGCAGAGCTATGGCGCCTCTACCGCTAAGATTGTATGTCCCCCTGCAACTGCTGATGATCATGCTTATTGGATCCGCCGGCGCCGCCCGATTCCGCGGCGGAGGGGACAGCGAAACCGTGTCGTCGTCACAGAGAGAGTTCGATTTCTTCAAGCTCTCTCTCCTATGGCCTGGCACCCAATGCCGGAACACTCGCCACTGCTGCTCATCCAATGCCTGCTGCCGGTAAATATACTGATGGATCTTCATCATTACATGTCTCTGATGAGTTCAAACTCCAAAATCTTCGTGGATTTATTTGTTTTTAACTTAACAAATTAGTTTTTTTGTGTTTCCATTTTTTATGTAACTTGTGCAGTTCCAGCTCGCCAACCGAATTCACAATCCGTAAGTCCTGCTCCGCATGATTCTGTTGATTTACTTCATCCCTGCCAAATAATTTCGCCTGCTACTCGAATTTTAATTTCCAAAATAATTGTGGCTTTAAAAGTTTTACCTATTTTTGTATCCTTCGAAATCATGTAACAAGGATAGGTTAGAGTGCTAAATCAAGACAAACATGCCTTGTATATATTACTCAAGAGAATGCATTGTTTTTTACAGATGGACTATGGGCTGATTACAATGATGGAACTTGGCCAGCATGTTGTGAAGGTCCCCAATTCAATGAAAGCGAGGTGTGTTTGCCAATGCTCGGATCTTTTGACAAGGGAATTAGCATTTTGTGTCGAGACTAGATTGAATCTAAAAAGTTTTTATTACTTCTATCATGGACCTTCTTCTCAAATTTAAAAATTTAAAAATAAAAAAATAAATTTCATATTACAATTTATTGCTTATGTAAGAAGGTCCACATTTCTTATATGGACTTTAGAACTAGACAAGAATGTACCGAAAGTTTTGGGGCATTCTGTTTGCACTTCCAAAAAATTGATTCTAATTCTGGAATGCGAATGGTGATTTCCAAATTCAAGGTTGACCCTAGTCCCTAAGTATTTCTTGTAGATTTTGGGGAGAGTGATTTCTATAATTTCATTTTGCAACCCGGAATTACCATCTCAGTTTGGCCATGATAGAAAACAGATAGGGGTGGTTGTGATTATAAAATCAACAAAATCACCTCACAAATAAATGCAAACCAAACACATCATTAGTTGAAAAACTTTGGTTAGGATTTGCTAAGAGTAGTCCAACGTATTTCTAAGGTGCGATTCCATGCCTGTGTCATGATGTAGATCTCAACTCTGATGGGTGACTTGACAAAGTACTGGCCAACTTATCAGTGTGGTAGCTCATCAACTTGCCATCGCAGCAAAGGACCATTTTGGGCGCATGAGGTTTTCAGGCATTTTAAATATATATCTTTTCATTAATGTTAACCAATATATGACTATGAAACTGATTCTTTCTTCATTCTGGCATTCTGCTATGGCACTCATTGACTCCTTTGACACTCATTAGTGGGGTAATTGGCTTTCCCTCCTTTCATCAAGATGAACTCATGTTACTACGAGTATATTAAGCATTTGAGAATAATTCTCAAATGACTGTTTATAGACGAATTCAAATGCCAATTCCACTCTAATTAGAGTAATTTTTCAGAGAAACACGGAACATGTTCCACTCCCGTTGTCCGGAATGAATACGAATACTTCATGACAACACTGAATGTCTTCTTCAAATATAATGTTACGGTAAATAATTGAATTGTCATTTTTCAGTTTTAGTCTTTGAATTAGAGCTTCTATCATGTTTCTAATGAATATTAATTGGTTGATGAATGATGGCCATTGATATCTTATTCAACGTATTTTACCAGGATGTATTGCACAAAGAGGGATATGTACCTTCAAATTCTGAAAAGTATCCCTTAGGAGGCATCATTTCAGCCATTCAAAATGCTTTCCACGCAACCCCGGAATTGGCATGTTCTGGTGGTGCTATTGATGAACTCAGACTATGCTTCTTTAAGAACTTTGAGGTTAGACTCTTATGTGTTTGCATTATCAGAGTTTAGATTTCCTTGTTCAGTGCTCTTGGTATAACTTGTTGATCGAAATGACTGGATCAACATGGGTGTTTCTCTTTAAACAAAAAGCATTAGGTAATATCTATTTCCATCAAAAATCAAAAACTACTTATACAATTAGTTTTGCTTATAAGCAAAATCAGCCAGATAAGGCTTGACATCTACATTTCTATGTTTGTTAAAGTTAAGGTGCTTGCAAGTTGCCTGTTTTTACTTTTACGAGTATAATTTTAGAAGTTATACGGAGCATGATATACTTCCTCCGTCCCAAAAAGATGTTCTTGTTTCATTTTTTTGCGCATCCCATAAAACTCTTCTACCCACATCTATAATGTTTAAAATTCAATACACTTCTCCTTTATTGCTGGTAGAAGTTGTTTTGTTAGTGTTTTAGACATTGGATGTGAGGTAGAAGTGTTTTATGGGATGTGCAAAAAATGAAACAAGAACATCCTTTTGAGACAGATGGAGTGTGTTGTATAATAAGCCAACCAAAACTACTCATACTAATCACGTTAGTTTTGAAAATTCACAACAAAAAATTGGAAAACCCATATTTTGGTTTTCAAAGAATACGGGAACTTGCAACTCGGAACTATCAACGCCTCCCCCCCCCCAATGGAACCTTAGTTTTTCAATCTATAATATGATAATCACCAAATATATTTGTTTATGAAGGTCTAATATATGTTCTTCTCACAGCCACGTGATTGTGCAACACAATCCAGTCTTACGAACCTAGAAGATTCATCGTGTCCCAAGTATGTGAGCTTACCTGAACACACATCGCCGCGTAAGTTTTCTATTACTAACATGAGCTAGGATCTTTTGACATCCATTATGAGTCATTATATGACACTATATAATAACATGACATTGGCTGATTTGGGGGTCCTACGGTGCTTTGTTCGATCCCAAAGTGGTTTCTTTTCTCCAAACGCCCACTCCAACCCTCATGTTTTGCCATCATGATACAGTCGGCTAAATGGAGGGGCAGGGGCTAGAGAACATGATAAGGTGGGAGCACAAGGTGGGGTAGGGGTTTGTGGGGGTAGGGAGAGTAGGAATGACTTTGGGGTAAAACGGAACACCATGGGCCCTCAATGGCATGCGTGCCATATTACGACACACATGATGGGTGAAAAAAGAACCCCAACGGTCCAACGTACTAACGTATACACAAATTTCACACATTAGAGGCCGAATGGATGTGTTAGTGCCTTAGTGGCTCTTACCCGTCTATACGAACGTGTACGTGTTGCTTTCTTGTTTTGCCTCTTGAATTGAACTTCAATTCTTAAATGTTCCCATAGCCTTGAGGGTATTTCGGGAAGGTCAACTCCTTTTTTTCATTCCTTATTTTCCACTACAAGTCAAACTAGGCGACTTAAAACGGGAACCCATATTAAATGTCATTTGGTTTCCAGGGCAAAAGAAGAATGGAGAGGGCGGAGCTTTTCTATCTGCAAACTAGATGATGGGTGGTTTGCTGATGCTATTTGAAATAAAGGATCTCATTGGTGATTTATTGTTTTACAAATATATTCATATCGTGTACCACAAAAGGGCAAAAGAGTAAGTCAAGGAAATGTTGACAAGCTCTCATTGTATCCAAAACCAATACTCCATCTGTATCGTTTAGTTGATTGGTTTAATTAATGTATTTATGGATGCATAAATTCCTTTTTTTTAAATGTGAACTTCTTGCTATTGAATTTTAGCAAAACTTGAATCTTAGCTCCAATTTTTCAGTCATTTCTCGAAGTTTGTATTTTATACGTTTTTGCATTTTGAATGTTTCATTAAAGTTATTTTTTTAAAAAAAATTATGTACTCCATATTAAAATACACCAATTCTTTTTAGAACAAGGTGTTATGAATACTTTATTATAAAAATTAATTAGAGAAATAAAGCAAAGGCACATACGAAGTAATATAATTTTACTAATAGTGAAAAATACACTTATTTAGGAATGAAAGGGTTATAAATTTATTTTTAAATACTGCAGATATTAATTCATAAGTTTCTCTAGACTTTTCACTATTTATATACGGAGTACTTGGAATAGAGGCAGGGCAAAGGCTACCTATGAAGGCGAGAGATTGCCATCCCTACTAATTATTCACAAGATCACATTTTGATTTTTTTTAAACTTTTTTTATTACTTTGATTAAAATAATAATATAGTATTGTCATATATTTTGTGTAAGTTTTGATATAGTTTTAAAATTTATATGCATTGAATTGAATAATTTTACTAGAGCATTGTAACTTGCAATAAGAAAATCTTTTCGAAGTGGACGGAGGGAGAAAATTTTTATTCCTTTTAGAATGGAAATACTACGGAGTTTTATTGTATTTTAATTCAAGGATACATAATTAATGAATAACGTCAAAGATCTTGTGATTCAATGACATCATAATGACTCTCTCATATAGGAAGTTATGAGAGCATATGCAATGGCAAGTGGTTGTCTTGCCCTGCCATTAGTGGAATGGAAGATAATACAATGGGAGAGGCAATAATTGACTTGCATGGAATGGGGCGAGGCACCACTATATGCGTGGCTTGTGCGAGGAGAAATGAGCGGAACAATGCATGCTACTGATTGGACTAAATCCTTGTTGTTTTTTCTTTCTTCTTTTTTTTTTCGGTTTTTTGCATGCCACCTCTGTAGCTAATCTTTCTTTTTTTGTTGCATGTGTTTTGCCTAACTTCTTTTTCTTCTTTCCAAATCCAACTTTTAAAAAAACAAATCTAACCCTTTTATAAACAAAAATACCAATTCATTTTTTTAATTATCTATGTTGTTTTTTTCATTTCAGTCTATTTTCTTTTATAAAACATTTTAAGATATTTTCTAAAACTAAAAATACATATTTTTAAAACTAGTGTTTTAATCCTAGATTATACTTCGTACAATTTAAGTAGATAATTAAACTAATTTTTAAAAAATAATGTTTTCTCTATACAATTAAAATCTTTACAAGAAAATAAAAAATGTATTAAAAAAATGAAAAATAAAACACATGAACTAATTAAATTATGTCAAAATGATAAAATTGACAAATAAACATTACTTGCCATTGTAGGGCATGCTACTCTAATGGAATGCCACTGTGTGACTATGCATCCTTTGATTGGTTATGTTGAGTCATGTCACCGTGTGGCATTCCAGGACACGACTTGTCATTGCCTATGCTCTGAGTTCAAACCCCCGTGGTGGCAATAACTGTATGTGCTTAATTTCAAACATAAAAACAATCACAATTCTAATGCAACTACGAAAAATTGTCTTCATAATATATCAATGCCAATGTGCACTTTATGCTTACCATATGTATGTGTGAATCTCACATTTTCCACCTAAATTCACTTTTTTTACAGCATATACATATGAGTTCTCAAACCCTACATAAGCAAATCATATGATGATGCATACCGCCATTGGGAATGATAAATGCCAACTTTCAACGAAGAAGAAGAAGAAAAAGAAGAAGAGGAAGAAGAATTTGCAAGAGGTCATAGAGTCCCCTAACAAATGTGCCAAATCTCAGTAAATGAAGAGAGAATTCAGGCCCTAACCAGTCGTTAGAGCTGGAGTTTGTGTTTCACCATTAACTTGATTGGCCGACAGCAAAAGAGCAGACAAAACGGGAAGGTGTTCACCGCGAAGACAACCCATCCCTCCTTTCGTCCTCATCTGCAACATTGCATCAAAGATGAAATGATATCATGATCCTTTCTGGGTGATTAGCATCTTTCTCATGTTAAGATATGTCTCTTTTCAAAAGGCAAAACTAAGCTTAAAAATCGCTCTTTTTTTCTTTGGATGGAGAGAGTAACAGGTAAATGCAATTCCTTGACAATTTGAAGAAAATAGCATTCGTACATTAAGGTAAAGTTGTATTTTTATTCACCTCAGGGTTCAGAGCTTCAAAATAAAAATATTTTATGCCCTATTTTTTCGTTAACAACCAAATCAGCCTTTTCACAGTGACAGTGACTAACAACAACAATCGCAAGACTACTATGCAGAAAAGAGAGCTTCAAAAGAAAAGGGGGGAACCCATTAAACCTTTTATATTCTAGCAGATTGTAGCTGGTAGTGAAGAGGTTACATGTAACCAAGCTAGTCTTTGACCCATCATGCCCTCATGTGACAATATCAGAACGCAGAATCTCTTCACTTGCTAAAAACGAATTTCAGCCACATAAAGAAGCAATAATTTGAAATATGTCCTGGCAGGTCTGCCTGCAAAACATCATAGTACTCATGAAACTGAGGATTCCACAATCATCATGCAAGGCTATAATGCAATATCGTACATCAATCACAAAAATACAATTGAAAAAAGGGATAAAACAGGGGTCTGTTTTGAACGAGGGAAATTCTAGGGAAAATTTGGATAGAAAGTTAGGGATGGAAGATAATATGGGGTGGGGGATTTTAAAAAACTAAATGTTTCGAACTCAATATTTCAATTTTTGGATATTTCTTCAATCTCATTTTAATGATAATAAATATATCTATTATATATATACCAAGAAATTCAAATATATTTTAAAAAAACTAAGTTTAAATCACATATGAACTTTCCTTTTTATTTCCAGGGTCAAATGGTCCCAAGCCCGGATAAAAGAGGAGGGTTGTGTTAGGTCTCGACAAGCAACATAAAACTCTTCCAAATCTTCATGACATGGATGGATCACTTCCAGGGTCAAACCATGCATCTAGGCTAAAATTGGAAGTAAAAAAAATGGGGGGGGCATGAATACCAAAGAAAAATACTTTTAAAAACTTTTGGTATCACAAAAAAAGTCCAAAGGAAGATCAAATTCAATTTCAGTCTCTTAATTTTACATGTATTTAAAAAAGAAAGAGTTTGAATGAATATCCAGAACAGGTCTATGAAGTTTGAATTGGCTTTCAATTTTCCAACACATTTCTTCCCTTCCAAATTTCATATCTATCTTTTTTTCCCTGTTTTCCTTTGCTAGCATTGTCCGGGTTTCTCTTGCACCAATAAAAAACATTTTCTTTAGTATTTGTTTGCCCTTTTCCTACAATTTTCCAAGTCCCAAACAGAGCCTAACAAAATAGACAGTTGAAAATTAAAGGAGAAGACTAATTATTAACTTACACTGCTCCAAGAGAAGGAATACCCATCAGTAGAGAGCAACCAGTTACAATCCTGTCTTTGCAAATCATCATCTAACACACCATCCTCATAATCTACTATCATGTCGTGATCAAAACCCCTTCTCTTTTTCTTCCTTCGATAAGCTTTTTTCCTCTTCCGTTTAGATCTACTTGAAGACCTCTCTTCCCCTTCAGACTCGCTCTCTTCCAGAGATTCATCATGATTTAACAATGAGTACTTCCCGCACTTGCGAAAACCTATTCCATTACTAGCAAATAAGGATTCCCATGAAGCGGGAGTCTGAAATGCTTCTAACAATTGAAAATGCAGAGCCCAAGCCTGCAATCCTAAAAATTTCATCATCTCCAAGGATTTCCTTCTAACACACTCTTCAAGAATTGTAGCAAAGCCACAATTTATGAGTGTACAAATCTGGGAAGCAATGCTTCTAATTTTTTCCTTTTCCTCCTCGTCGGCCTCTTCACGGACTAGTAACAAAAGTTGACGGCTTTGAAAAGTCACAGCATTCAACAAGAGTAGCTCATCGATAGAACCATTATTATGGCACTTTGAAAGCAGGATCTCAAGCCAAGAAGATGGCCTATCAAACTTCATGGTTTCTAAGCTTGGGTTAAGATATCGAGGGATCAAATCCAGGAAAACAGACAGTTCTTCCTCCTCAAGTGCAACAAGAAGGTGATGACAAAGAGTACAAAAAGATTCTTCCATCAGAAAAACATCTATAACATCCCACACTTCTTTCATGTCGTCCTTGTACATTAGGTCAAGAAACATTTCGACAAAATACGTCTTATCAATTGACAAAATTGTACCGTCTTTTAATGACTCTGAAAACTCAGTGGATGACCAGAACTCAGGTACATATTCAAGAAAATTCTCTACGGTTTTCTCGACATCAAGATCAAGAAAGTAATGAGGGTTTGTAGCAACCATGGCTGGCGATTTCCCGTGTTTTCCCCTCCACTCAAGCTCCTCCCAAAAAATGTCACGATTCACAAAGGCAAATTGGGAAAGTGCCTTAGCTCCTTTAAAGTGCATATCACCAGAACCTCCAAAGTTAGAGAACCACAGCAAAATATGCTTGGTATTCCCTGCACGTCTCATGATTACAATATAAAAAGTCAGCCACATAAACAGAATGGCGTTTACTAAAGGAAATACATTAGCAGACAATGCCATAGTAGCTAAACAAGGGAATGGGTATACATAGCAACACAGAGAAGAAATATTAACAATAAAGCTTAGAGAAAGATGTAAATCCACAAGTATGTGCAAGAATTTGTTCTACTAACTATCATCATTAAAACCTATTTTACAAAATTTCACGTGCAGCCTTCATTTTCTCATACATTTGAACAATAATGCCATTCAAAATTTTTAATACATAAACACATGGATCTTTTTTTAATCTCTGTTATCATATTCAGCAAGAAACAGATAACTGAAGTTCAGTTCAATGCCTTGCCTTTAAAAAATTCCTCTAGCAAGTAACTTTTCTTTGAAATGATTGGTCCAGCTATGTGCGGATGCTTGTCGAAAAGAAAATGTAGAATTTGTGCTGCCAGACGCTGTGGTTTTGCTGTATTTGACCTTAACAAGGCCAAAAATAGCTCTTTCTTATGATGGGGCGTTAGAGAATGAATATCTGCCACAGATTTGCAAAGCCAAAGGCGAGATTCAGAACGATGCCCAGATGATATCAAAGACCATATAACAGATTCTAGCTCCTTGAGATGAGATCTTATCTGCTCAGCTATTTGATCGTCTCCATTCTCATTCAAGGGGGGTGTAGAGAGAAATAACTGGAGCATCTTAAACCTGCAATCTCAAATACCAGAACAAGAACCCTAATTACGACCAAGGCTAGTTAAGAGAGGATCATTCACACAAAATAAAAAGAAAAGATTTTTTCAAGGGGATACAATTTCTCACAGCCCAATTAGAGACTGATTAGCCCAATCAGGGAATTATATTCAGGTTTGGAGTAAGATGGAATAAAGAAAAATGATTCTTAAACTATCTTTGCTTCTTTTGCTAGTGGAGTAATAGTTAATCAATGCAACTTTCGAGTTGGAGTAACACAATCAGCGGCCTTTGAGGCACTGGGGTAATGTTGTTGTGTCTACTACAAAGTTGTGCAATACAATCCGGGTATAACATAACCATATATGCATATTCATCTGAATCCTTAGCTTACTTGGCTAGAGTTTAACTATCTTCTTTCTTTTATTACTACGGAGTACTATTTTTTACATAGTTTAGGGATTACAAAATACTTTTTAACTTTTTTTGAATGATATTGACTCTATTACAAGGTACCTGTTTATACTTTTCTCAACTTAATGACGCACAAATAGCCTCCGCCGAAACTCGAACCTAGGTGAACTTTCATGTGAATCCCTGGGAGTTGGCTTTATACCACTCAAGCAAACATTATGAACCTCTAATTCTTCCATTCTGAAACTGATGTGGTCACCTAACACTAGGAGCTGCTTATGGACTTTAGGGGAAAGGATTCATTAAACATGTCAAACAGCTAAAATATAGCATGATTTTGTTCAAAAAATTTTAATATTATTTATGATCAAGAAATTCCAAATTGATGAAGTTTAAAACCAGATTCTCAAATCAGTAAACCATGATACATATGCAGCACCACATACGAAATATAGCTCGTTCTAAATACACCAGTTATGGTTAAAATTCTCATTTAGGTACAATTATAATAGAAATCGTTAAGATCTGGGTAATTTCTTTGGCACATATGGGAACTTACTTGCAGAAACAATGGAGAAAACTGCTTGACAGAACTGAGAAATTCGAAAAAGCCGAAGAACAGATCGTCGAATGAGACCCGATTATACATACCTCCTGCCATATTTTGGGCCTTTTGACGAAACTGATTCATAAATTCATTGGTTCTAAAGTTGACCCGAAAGCCCAAAAAGTTGCCCAAACCGAAAGCCATCCAATCAAATGGCCCAAAAACTAAAATCCTAATTAATACTTTCAAAAATATTTTTATTTTTAATGTAGAATACTCTCATTAGTTATTTACTATTTTTTTCGTTTAGATTTTGTCGTCGTCAATTTGGCCTCTTTCCCTTTCTTTCGTGACTGGTACTACCCTTTTCAAGCCCACAACCAATTAACACATACACACGCGCAACATAATTTCTATTTAATTTTTGATCAAGTTAAAAATATGAATAATTTTGAAGCAAACGTGTAGACATATACGGAGTATAAAATTTTTATTTTTTATTTAACACCTTAAGATGCATCCACACTTCTACTTTTTAAATTTTAGTGCTTCGGTGCACCCACATTCGCTCTCGCAATAAAACTCGAACCCGCTCTATGTCATCTAGATACATAATGTATTTAAAGTTTATATAATTACTTTTATAACTACATTCAAATATTTTTGAAATTTTAGTATGACTACATTGTATAAATATATACTTGGATTTGAAAATGTAAGGCACTCCTCTCTTAGTTGACTTGGGCTTTGCTCTCGAACAATGTTTTTAGTTAACATTAGTGTTTATGAATTACTTTTCAACGATGCATATCAACTATACGAAATTGACACTAAATACTACCATGTATTAGCTTTGAAAAGATTAAAGCTTTGTTATGGCTTAAGAGTAATGAATTTCGGGAGTATTATTTTAGATTTTTTTGTGTGGTGGAGGCGGTCAGTCATGACGGTGTTTCATACTGTGATTCGTATTTTGCCATTATGGTACTTTGGTTGATAACTTGAGGCCCTCATGGACACGATTGAGTTTGTTTCTTTTTCTTTGTTCATAGGACTTCAAATGTAGTTGCGCATATGTTAACTATGCAGGTGAAAGAAATTATGTAATTTGTCCCTTTGGGTTTTATTATTTCACTGATGTCTTAAAGAGAGTTAGTTGTTTTCATAATTTTTTTTAAAAAAAACTAAATGGTAATATGTTCCCAAATGAGCACCTTACTGTTTCGAATATTATGTTTAAATGATAGTATTTTTTATGGAGTATTAATTTGTATAAAAACTAGAACAATTATAAATAATTAAAAGTTATATCGAAATTTTTTCAAAACAAAATATAATAAGATTATTACATTGTATTTTTTAAAATGAATAGTAAAAATATGTTTAAAAATATTATCAAATTTTATTATTAATATTATCAAATTTTATACTCATATGTTCTTGAAAATATTTTCGTCCTAATTTTTTGTACACTCATACAATACTTTTATTTTCACCTCAAATGTCTAAAATACATCTTATTATGTAGTTTATCGCATGTGAAAGTTGTTTTGGAAGTATTTTAGAGAGCATAAAAAATTAGAGCAGAATTATGTTAAAGAAGGGAGGGATTATGTTTACAAAAGTAGCATTTAGATTCTAAAAGTTTCATCCTTTCAATTTCTTTTGCAAAATGCTAAAGAATTTTAGAAAGGGCCTTCTTTATAAAGCCCAATAACTTTTCCATAGCGCGGGCCCAACCCGGCGTCGAATCTAAACGTGTTTCAGGGGAGAAAACCAACTCAAACACGGAAAGAACTATCTCAAATCACTGCGATTTCTCCTCTCCTCCCCAGAAGAAGAAGAAGAAGAAGAAGAAGACTAAACATTCACTATCCGATTCCTGTGTAAGATTCTTCTTCTCCATCTCTATCTATCTTCCTGGAATCCGTTTATGTGGGTTTATATATAGATTATGAGGCGATTTATTTCATCTTCTAAAATTGTACTGTATGATCTTAGACTGGGTTTATCTTCTTGGCGAAGAGGCGATTTGAAAAAAAGGGGGAACATTAATTGTGAAAAATTCAATTTCATACTGGAATTAAACTGAACAAACTTCGATATTTGTATTGGATTTTTGTACAAAAATAATTTCAATTTATATTTTGAACAAGTCTGACCCGAACAAATTTAATTCACTGTATTTATATGAAATGCAAATTTAATGTAATTGGTGATTAAAGTTCCTAGAATTCGACTCGAACAGATTTTTGACAGGAAATATTGAGCGGATGAACAGCATAATTGCATTTAATTTCTATCTTTCTGCGAGTAATTAATTCGAGTATTGTAATGATAGGCATGGAGTAATGCAATGATGGGGCAGAAAGATGTAGGAATTTCTTTTTGGCTATAACTCCTATAAGTTTGTAAAATGCTAAATTGACCTTGGGATGACGAGTTGATACCACCCGATACAATCCCACGCCACAAAAACATGTCAATTTTTTTTTGGTCTTGAGTGTGAATTTTAATGTTATAATATACGAGTGTGAATCTTTATGCAATAAAAAAGTACTCCTTTATTCATAGAGGATGCACTTGACACTAAATTCATATGCATTGCCTCCATTTGGTCTGGAAACAGTCGCTCTATGTTTTAAACATAGGGGTCAGACTATGTACACCCGATCCCCCCCCCTTACCCCGCAATGGGCGGGAGCCGTTGAGGCACCGGGGTAATGTTGTTGTTGTTATACTGCCTCCGTTTGGTTTGAATTCATGGGAAGTTAGTTTCTAAATTTTACTGTAAAATGAGGTGTTTTTGAATGAGGTGATTTGGTCTGCAGAGTGGCATTGATTGTATGTTTGATTGGTCATTTAAAAATCTTAATCTATAAAAAAAGGAACACTCAGTTAATTAATCTGTAGAATTTACAAAATTAAATTTTTAGGAGCTAAGTGAAATGCCTCTTAAACCATTTAGTACCCCAATCCCACTTCCCTGCCCTATCACTTTTTAGTTAAAAATGGGTAAAAATTTAACATCATTAGATGAAATAATGTCTCTTTCTGCCCCAACTTCTAAGTTTATATTTTAGTACTTTCTCTTGATCTTATAAAACTGTTTCGCTGGTGCATATTGTGTTAATGATTTACCATAATCATTTATTTGGCTATAGTTTTACATTATAAATACCTTGGAGTATAATGCAAACTTAATATACTTTTTTTAAATATATACTTCGGTTCGTGCTAAAATGTAGTGTTGTTTGTGTACAGTTATAGATATCAATCGTCAGAATGTTGCATTGAAGACGCGAGAAACTTAAATCAGCAAGTGAAGGAACATTTATGGGAAGCCCCAATTTTCTGGGTTTGATATTTGCTGCTGGAGTTTGGATGGCTTCATATGCATTCGTGGCCGTGTTTGGCATCTTTCAAATCTTCAACTGCCTTCGAACTTCTGTTCTCGGTTAGATGATTCCATGGCTTATTTTTTAAACTGGTCGGGTACATTGGGTCATCTCTCAATATACTCATGAGGTGCATGGTTCTTTTATGATGTGGATTGATTATTAAAGTTCCATCTTAAAGGGTCAATCTAATAAGGACAATGGAGTGTTTTAATCGAAACAATAACCATGAAAATTGGTTGAATAATTTGGTTATCCCTTTCGAGAAGTTGGTTGCGATTCGATTCAAATAATGAATGTAAAGTGAGGTGAAATTGGTGTCGAGACTAGAGACCCAAATAAATGGTTTTGGGCCAATCGGAGGACCCGTTTACCCGATAGATTGTGTGTTGCTTGCTTCCACTCATTTCAAGGACTATGGAGAAAATGTGTCCTATAACACTTGGTCAAAAAATGAAGGTAAAGTGAGGTGAAATTAGTGTTTTGTAGAGTGCAAACATCAATACTATACGCGGTCTTGGTAAAAGTTGTCTTGGTGCATATTTATTCTTTTAAACTTTCTTTTGTCAATCTTTTTTATTAAAACAACATAATCGTGTTGTGTTTCACCCAATAGAGTAATAATTAAACAAATTTGAATCAAATTTTTTAATGCATAATGGAAATTTTGTGAGACTGAGGGAGTATCAATGCACTAAGGAGTACACCAGCTCTCGTTGTTAACTACGAAACAATGTTTTTTTTTAATCTTAGTATGAGCAAACATTTCTTGCTTAGCATTTTTTTTATGGCAATAATTCTGACCCCAATTAACTTTTTTTGCGATGCTATCATCTTGACCATCTAAACTATAACACTCGAGTAAAACGAAAAAATTACTGCTGGGTACCCTAGATTTTGTGATAAGAACTGGAAGGTCTCATTATTTTTTAAAATGTATTCCGGGGTACCTTAAAATAACAATAAACTTACTCCGAGGTGACATTCCGTCACTTTCTCCGTTAAACTCCATTCTCCGTTAACTTCTTCTTCTTCTCCATTTTCGATTTCTTCTTCTTCTTCTTCTTCTTCTTCTTCTTCTTCTTCTCTAGTCCTCCCTCCCTCCTCCGCCAACGGATCTTCTTCTTCTTCTTCCCATCATCCCATTTTTTCTTCTTTTTTTCTTTTTGAACTCTTTTTTCTTCTTACCTATTATTATTATTGTTATTATTATAAAATTAATTAGAAGTTTTACCATTTTTATTCTTTTTACTTCATATTTATTATTATTTTCTTCTTATTCTATTATATTTATTATTATTATTATTAGTTACTCTGTATTATTTTTATTAATAATTATTTCTATTATTATTAAAAATAAATTATTCGTTTTACTATTCTTTTTTAAGAAAAATAATAGTAATAATTACTATTTACTTCTTATAATTTTTTCTTCTATTTTTTTACTTTGTATGCCCCCATTGACCTTTTTCAATTTCTAATTTTTCACTTCCGTAAAAGTAGGTTAAAGTATTTTTAAGCTTTAATTAAAAATTAATTTTAGTATGATATATTTATGTATAGTTTATAAAATTAAGATTATTTATTCACTTGGATATAAATTATACGTCACATTTCATAATGGCAGCTATCGATGACTACTGCGTGACTAATGCGAAAAACAACATAGATAATATTAAGTTTTATTTTAAATAATAAATGTTGTTTTTATAAATAATAATAAGTGTTATTTTTATTAAAAAAAAGAGTGATAAAACTACTCATTAATTTTTAATAACAATTATATATTAAAACAATAGCAGAAAAGTAAAATAATAAGAAGTAAATAATAATTAATGCAAAGTAATAATAATAAGTACTATTATTTTTATAAAAAAATGCAGTAGCAAAATTACTAAAAAATTTCTTTTAATAAATAATACAATTAATAATTATAAGCGTTTTTTATAATAAGTTATATTTTTCTAAATAACAATCAATGTTATTTTTCTTAAAAAGAGTAGTAAAACTAATAATTATTTTTAATAATATTATTAACAATTATGAACAAAAATAATACGGAGTAATTAATAATAATTATAGAATAAGAACAAAATAATAATAAATATGAAGTTATAGTAATAAGTGCTACTCCACTATTTTTCTTAAAAATTAGAGTGGTAAAAATACTAATTAATTTTAAGAATAATAATAATAATAATAATAGGTAAGAAGAAAAAAGAGTTCAAAAAGAAGAAAGGAAGAGAAAATGGGAGGATGGGAAGAAGAAGAAGGAGATCCGTAGGCGGAGGAGGGAGGACTGGAAAAGGTGGAGGAGGAGGAGGAGAAGAAGAAGAAGAAAAGGAAGAAAAAGAAGAAGAAGAAGAAATCGAAAATGGAGAAGAAGAAGAAGTTAACGGAGAATGGAGTTTAACGGAGAAAGTGACGGAATCTCACCTCGGAGTAAGTTTTTTGTTATTTTAAGGTACCCGAAGTACATTTTAAAAAATAATGGGACCTAGCAGTTCTTATCACAAAATCTAGGGTACCCAGCAGTAATTTTTTCGAGTAAAACTCTAAAAAGTGAACATTTTATACTAATTGGTTAATCTCATTGTGGCCCAACATCAAAAAACAACTTCGGGCTTATACCTACAAATTGAAATACGCCGCTGGCTCTCACTTGTTTCATCTTACCCAACTTCAACTCAAAAAGTAGAAGGGCAAGTACTCCCTCGGTTCTAATCTAAATTACATGTTTACTATTCAATGCGTTAAATTAACATTTTCATTACTTTTTTTCAAGATTCATTTGATAAAAAAATATAGTTATGTCACCTCTTATTTTGTATAGTAAAACTTTAGAGATAATTTTTAAATTCTAAACCAACTTTCATATAAAATAAATTAAAAATAATTTCAATCAAACACCGTAAATCGAAACAGACAATTTAAATTAAAATAAGATTCAAAATTAGAATGAGTATATTGATAACAAAAACGCTAGTGTAACACCAAGTTAGCACCATAGATGACATCATTCGTGAATATTTGCACACGGATGATAATCATTTCTGAAATTATAGAATTCACTGAAAATAATCATTTGTTTACAAATTCATTGACCGTTGTCAACAATGGCAACACCAATGCATAACTCAATCAGTACCTCTAATTAATTTCACAAATGATTATCATCTGTGTGCAAATAAACGTGATTAAAATAAGGAAAAATTATCACTAATAATCTCACCTTTTAGTGCTCTTTCAAAAATAATCCTACTTTTCACTCTCACCTGAAATAATACCACTTTTCCGCATATGTGCGAGTTTTGGGTCGCCGTTAAAAAACTAACGGTCACTTAATGGAAATTTTGAAAAATGCCCGTTTTTCGCAAATAAATGAAAGGTTGGATTATTTTAGGTAAATTCTCCCTTTTTCGTTTTTTAATTTCTTTAAATGTATTTTTATTTTATTTTTTTGGAAAAAAATACCAAATTTAAGTGTTTTTAGAGTGAAACTAATTGTTTTTTTCAATAACCAATAATATGGTAATAATTAGAAAATAAATTATTCTACACAATAGAGCTAATTTAACTTCATAACTAACTACTTCCTCCGTTTGGAAAAAGTGTTCCTCTTTTGACTTTGTGTAAAAATAAGGAAGTATTAAATTGTAGTTGACTTCCAATTTTGCCCTTGATGTGATAGGTAAAAGTAAGATGTGAAAGATATATTATTAGAGATAAAGTATGATGTGATAGGTAGGGTATGAAAAAAGTAAGGGTAAAAGTGGTTTTTTAATAGAAAATAGAAGTGTTTTGTTGGAAGGGAAAAAATGAAAGAGGAAGTGTTTTTGATAACGGAGGGAGTACATTTTTTTGTAAGTTGCATTTATTGTATTTTTCTTGAGCTGCACTTCAAATTATTTTTTGATACTACATTATTATTATTTTTTAAAAAAATGGCACTACAAAACTTATGAATATTTTTCGATAGTTCTATATAAATATTTTTTGTGAAACAACATTACAATAGTTGTGAAAATAACACAACATTTTTTTCTGTAAAATAGAACTTTTATTTTTATAACTCACTACATTTTCTGATGTATTGCAATTTTTCCATTAACACTCTGAAATATTTATTAATAATCTTATATTGCAATAAAATTTTCTTTCTAAAATGGAACTACCCAATTTGTGATTTTTTAATAATTCAATACAAATTTTTCCCCAAAATAGTAATTCAAAAGTTGTGAAAATGACACAATATTTTTTTCTCCGAAACGGAACCCATAAATTTTATAAATCACTACAATTTTTTTAATGTAATTTCTTTCTTGATTGATACTCTGAATTATTTTTGATAATTCAATACTATATTTTCCCAAAACAATTAACAAAATTTGTTAATCGTTAGACAAATCTCTAACAAGAGTGTATTGTTGTATTTTTAAAAATATTGATTTTAAATTCAAAACTAGAAAAGTAAAAAGTAAATTTTTTTCTAAAATAATCTCACCTTTCATTTATTTGTAAAAAACAGGCATTTTCAAAAACTTCCGTTAAGTTACCGTTAGTTTTTTAACGGTGACCCAAAACTCGCACATATGCGAAAAAGTGAGATTATTTCCGGTGACAGTGAAAAGTGGGATTATTTTTGAAATAGCGTGAAAAAACGAGATTATTTGAGATAATTTTTCCTTAAAATAAACGTGAACAACAAAAAACATAATTCATTTTTTGACAAGAAATTTTACGCAAAAATCAACAGGAAATCATTTTCTTAAAACGGACAGGAAAAAAAGCAAATTTTTACAAAACTAAGCATTTTTTCAGACTAAACTTAACACGGTAATTTCATTATTTTACCAATCAGTGTTGCTAATGAAAATACCAACAATTATTGTCATAAAGTTTCCAACAAGTATGGTTAATACATGATGCAACTCGTGGTATAAAATATACTACCTCCTTCCTAATCTTTAAAAAGAACTTCCTTTGAATTAATAACACATTATAATACTCGTAGAAAGTAAGCTACTTGAAAGAGAAAGGACAGCTTAAGAAAAAGATAGAAAAAGTAGCCAACAAAAATCCCAAATTCCACAAAGTTATGAAAAGGAAAGGAGGCGTCACGCAAAATTGAGCCGTAACTTCTGATGAAAACACAAGAGAAAACAAGATCGAAAAGGGTGACATTATTTGGGAAATATCGTTCACTCGTCATCCTCATCATCATCATCGTCATTTCCAGTAGCAGCCGCATTTAAAGCATTAAGCCTCTCTATCAGCTTAGCCTTCCTCTCCTCATAAGTTAGCTTCTTCAAGTTGAACCTGCACATTTACAACATAATGTAAATATATTATGGGGTACAAAATCGGCGTGCATTGATATATGATGATTATATCCTTGGAAAAGAGTTTAAGACGGAAATATATTTGAGAGAAAAATTGGGCAGACCTCTTGTGCTCCTTGGGAGCCTGCTTCTTCGGTCTCTCTGGGCAAGGATTAGCACGAATAGCAGCATGCACCTTCTTGTAAATTTCCTCAATACTGCCCGGTTCAATGCCCTTTTTTATATACTCGCTAAATTGAGATTGGTACTTCTCAGGTTCATCTTCCATCAAACCCTGGTTTGATCACACCCAAAAAAAATGTTAATGCTTGAGGAAATAGCAGAGCAGATTGCATACCAATATCTATTTCTGGCACAACTTACAAAGATTTTCCTTTTCGGTTAGGCTGATATCTTTTTTTATAAATTATGAAAAAGATAAAAAGTAGTGCTGGTGGTGACCTCTTAGCTGATATCTTTGATGATGCATTTAGGCTTTTTCAAGGTACTTTTATCGGTAAGTTGCATTAAGTTTACGCAACTTCGTGAATATGGTAAACAATTTTAGAAATTTGAACTTAACTCAATTTCAGCAAAAATCACGAGCCTACAAGAAGCTCACATGAGATAATAGTGGCACAATTATCTTACATTCATGTATGCTACAACATGACCTCCATAGATATACTTGCGGTGAACCTCAGCATCGAGCTGCTTTGAATCCTTACCAAACCCTGCAAACCTCTTTTCGCTGTGAGGAATGTCGATCCCACCGTCCAATGCACCCTAAAGAAAAGATATACCATATAAATTCAGCGCTATTGATAGAAAGGCACATAACTTCTTTCCCGGTTCAGGTTTAACACATTGAATGTAGCATCTAGGGATTGAGCTTAAGAATAATAAACTTAAAGACAATAGTTTACTATTATTTCAAATAGATAAATTAGTGACTTTTGAATTCAAAAGTTAATAAAAAATATTACCTTCAGGGCCCCAAAGACACGATTCCCAGTGGTTGTTCGAACTAGACCAACATCCAAGAGAGCACGGAATGGCCTTCGGCTTTCGGCAGGTTCAACAGAGTAGTCTTCCCCAGATGCCTTTACATTAAAGAATATCATGTTTAACATAATCATACAGAGTATCATAAAGATCAGAGCACTCAAAATTTCAAAGCTAACACACCTCAACATTGCCCTCATAATCTTCATCCATTTCAAGTTTCTTGAGAACTCGGCGAGCCAAAAGAAGCCCAGTGCAGTAGGCTGAATTGAGTAGCATAATTGATTAATATTTATGGGCATCAATAATAAAACTTGAAACAGATGCTGAAATGTAGAAAATTGTACCGGCAGCATAATTTGTTAGCCCAACATCAAGGCCAAACTGAGGAAGCTCGTGAGCATAAGCAGAAGCAAGAATCATGTCACCGGTTATACTAGCTGATACAATTTGAGCAATGATGTCCTTGTTGGTCTATAGGTGATGTTAAAGATACCATCCAGGGGATTGTATTCCTAAGCAAAAAACACCTACTACGTGGCAGAATAATTAAATAGTCCAGTATTACTTGAATCAACTTCACAAAACACGTGAAGCTTCAAATAGAAAACAGATGCATTTGGTTCTCTCACAAGAACTTGCAGTATTACTAGAGAGCCCTCACAGGCTAAATTTAATAGTATTCAGCCATCAGCCCCCTAACTAATATGATACTTAATTGTAGCAAAATGAAATTAGGATACAAATCGGACAACAAATCGGTATTTCGGAGTGTTGTATTTGTTCTTATCCTGATTGATGAGTCGAGTCCTTGCTCGATAGTCGGTCTTTCCCTCTGTAAAGTGACAAAACAAAATCAAATGACGATGAAGAAAAAGTATTCATAAAACGTTGAACATCTGGAGCTATTACTACCTCTCCTTCTCTTAAACTTGACCTGGAAACGCTTGAAGTAAGCCCTGCTCTTCTGGACTTTGATGAAGACCTGCATGACAAATTCACATCCATAATCAATGCAAAATGATATGTGCAGATCCATTTCAGAAATGGAAGGATTTTTTACTGCGCGTAATTATTTTGTCAATGAACATTCAAGCAGATCTGAATCGGAGCTTCAAAATACAAGAAGAAGATACTTACAAGCTCCGGGAATCGAAAGTACAGAACTTTAAGAGTGAATCAGGGAAAGAAACAAATGGTAAAAGCTCGTAGGCCGATTGCATAAAACATCCATATTTAATGATTCTAGCAAGCATACTATAATGCGGTAACACATATATGAATAGACATGAATGTCGATTTCTTTGACAGAGAGAAAAGATTTGTGGGCATACCATTGCTCCGAGCGTCGTAGGATGAAGCCGAGCGGCAGGGCAGTTCTGGGAGGGATGAGGCAGCGGAGTGAAACCCTACTGCGATTAAATATCTAAACCCTACTGCAAATGAAGGAGGCGGGTTGACCCGCGTCTCAAAAACGGGTCGATTATTTCAGCTTCTCAATAGTGCCCATTTTTTTACCCCAATTCCAACCATATTTTGAAGAAAAATAATTTTATATTAATTTTTATATTTAGAATATAAAAAAAATGCAATATAGCATTGCTCTAACCTGGTCTACCTTTTTCTGTAGTATATTATTTATATTTTTTTATAGCATTTGCAAAATGAACATGGATAAATAGAATAGTAGATTAAAACTACCACCTAACACACTCCATCCATCACCTGATACATTCATATTTACTAAATTTATTTATATTTTAGGATTTTTTGCATTTGGCTTCTCCACTTGATATGCTCTATTGTAGATATTTTTAAAGTCAATTTATACCTCAAAGTTTATAGGAGGCTACTATATTAAACAAATAGATTCTCAAAGTACCAAGTGAGGTTTCATTCATTGCCACTAATGATTGTCCGACCGGATCTAGGGATGTTAATTTGTATCCGACTCAACGGATAACTGATCCTCTCTCGTGGATAAAACCCGAAAAGAAAATGGTGATGGATGGATGATGGATGGATTGGGTTGGATGCGAGTAAAGGTATTTCTCACCCGTCACTCGATCCATCACCTGATACATTCATATTTACTTTAGAGAAAACTAAAACTGAAAATATTACATTTGTTGGTTACATAAGTTTGTTATAGTTCCCAATTTTCCATTTTATAAATATTTAGTTTGTAACTTAGAATATTATTTCTTTGTAGGATTATATCATATACATCATGAATATCTTATTTTAAAATATTTCTAGGGTTTGAGGGGATAGACCCAATTTGATGGGTTGGCCCATGAATGGATATTCTATTAAGTATTAACATGTTTGTACATTCACGTCATGTACTCATATTCTTCGCTTATAAATGACAATTTTGAATTATGAGAAACTTTGATAGATAACTTACTTTACTACAAGAAATTTATTAAATCTTTTTAAAATTGAATAACATGCGGTTACAAGAACATTTTGAACATTTATTTTCTTACAAATAAACTTTTTTAAGCTTTTCTAAATAGTGAGTAGTTTTTAGCAAATTTGTCTCAGGTTTAAAACTTTAAGAAATAAGATATTCTATTGTCAATCTTAATAAAATGGTTTGATATGAAATTGCTGAAAATTGTCATAAATTATTATATATTCTATATTGTTATAAACTTTCTGTTTCTTTTTTGGCGCATCCCTAAATATACTTCTATACATATATATGATGTCTAAGATTCACCTTATTTTTCTTTTATTACGTATAAAAGTTGTTCTGAGGGCACTTTAAATATTTTGAATGAGATAGAAGTATTTTATGAGATGCGCAAAAAATGAAATATAAAGCTTTTTTAGAGACTACGGAAGTCTATTATACGCCTATGTATATGTAGGTCCATATTTCTTGTCTGGTGATTCAGGACATCTTCCTTGCTTAAAAAGATCATGCATATAAGTCGATGCCTTAAAAATGATTACAAGTCTGCAAATCTTGTTTATAATATGCACATTTTTAATAAACCTATTACTTGAAACAAATTAATATTTTTCTACTTCATCTTCAATTCTAAGTATGTTTCTCTAGTTTGACTGTTTTGTAGATAAACACTTAAATACAACGAATTTTGGCCATCACTTTAGATAATTAAAGATTAGTCCATATTACATTGTACCCCGTATATTCATAAATTTTAATACATATTTTTATAAGATCAAAGAAATTAAAATAATATTGTATATATATTTAATGCAGTATTTGAATTAAACTAAACAAACTAGGACGAGGTAATATATAAATTGTGCAACTTTGTTTATAAATAAAATATACCATCACATCAAAATTGACACCATATTTAATAGATATGTACAAATAATCGCTATCTTAATCGCACATAAAATAACGCTCTGCAATATTTTTGAAATACTATCTCCGTCCCAATTTATAATGCCTGTTTCGGTTTACGATGTTTGACTGAAATTATTTTCAAACCATTTTATATGACAAATGGTATAGAATTAAAAAATAAAAATTACTTATTAAAAAACTACATCAAAAGATCTACAAAACTAGTAGGGACAATAATATTTTATTTTATCAAATTGCTAACGAAAATAGAGAAAGAAAGTAAATGAAGTTTGACCCTATGAATAGTAAACATGCATTATAATTTGGGACGGAGAGTGTAATATGATTTCATATTTGGGGTGATTATAGATTTAACAAAGAAAGAAAGACAAGACATCAAATTCATCTCAAAATGAAACAACAAAAAAATACAGGGGCTAAAATTTAATTTTGCAAAAAGAGTTGACCAGTCGATGCAAATTTAAACTTTTCATCAATCAAATGTGTAAAAACTGAAAAACCAGAGGACCGGACTAGAGAGAGAGACAGAGACAGAAAGAGAGGTCAGGAAGACGGAGGTGGAATCGTGGAAGCACGAAAGAAGAAAAGAAAAAAAGAAACTTCATCAATCTGATTCAAACCCTAATCAATGTTCATCATCTCCGTATAACATCCTTTTGATTTCGGTCACATCCATATAAATTAATGCATTTCGGAAGAATCGAACTGGTCGTCGCAGGTTCGAAGCTTTGATCTGCGCCATTTCCCGGCAGTTCTCGGGTCTCAGATCTGATACGGCCTGAACCGCGACGCAGCTGCCTCCCTCCCACAATGGACGACCTGGATTTGTTGGCCAGAGAGTTCGGGATACGGCCTGGTGGAAAATCGGCACCCATGAGATCCGGCCCTGGCGATCGCCGTCCAGCTCCAGTCCGCCCCACCCAGCAGCAGCGGAACGATCGGGATGAGATGTCGTTCAGCGATGTCTTTGGGGGTCCACCTAAATATATGAACTCCAGTATCAAGAGTAGTAAGGGTTTGTTGGAAACGAATGATTTGGATATAGGATCAATTTTCAGCTCAGGGAATGATCCAAAAAGCAATAACAACAGCAGCAGCAAAACGTCTTCCGGGCCTGTGTACGACAAGCCTGTTTATGATGATGATATATTTGATGGGTTGCCAGGACTAAAGAACAAACCGGAAACTTCACAAGCAATCTTTGATGAGAACTTGTTTGCCCCAATGACTTCACACCCGGAAAAGAATCACAGCAGTGATGATCTGTTGGGGTATTTGGGGAGGGAAGAGGTGGAAAAACCACAGGTCAGTATGAACTCCAGTTCCAGAGGTTTTGACGAGTTGCTAGCTGCTTTTGATAGCGCAAGTCCAGCAACTACTAACAGGTAAGCTGAATACTTTCTCATAATGGGACCACATTTCTGGATGTTTAGGTCAATTATAATCCGCATAGTCTTAGCTTTATCAATGCAGCACATGATAGAATTATCAGTTGAATATGATAATAGTATGTGAAGATAATGATAGGCGTGTGCATGTAAGCCCTCACAAGGTCTCTGGGAAGATGAGGGAAGAGGAAAGTAATGATTGGAATTTGGAAGGAGCTATGGTGATTGGTGACAGCCATATTAACTCACCTCTCCTGCCCTTGGCAGAGAGAGGTGGTGCTCAACCTTGTATTAGAATTAAATCTTCCAAAAGTGCTTTACTATTCCATACTAATGACCTTTATATTGCTTTTACTCGAAACTAATAGTGCTTATATAGCTGTTTTAAGAGTTCCAAGGAATCGAAAGAGTCTTAAGGAACTAAAGCTAATTCAATTCTTTTAAGGAAAGTAGTTAATGGATGAACTAAATACAAAACTGAAGTTATTAGAGAGATAGAGATTAGGAACTAGATGCTGGAATTGCGATGCACATTTATCCTTGGCAGTTGTGATCCTTGCTCCCATTAGAATTAAATCTTCCAAAAAAGCTTTACCATTCCAAAGACCTTTATATTGTTTTTATTCAAAACTAATAACACTTATGTAGCTAATAAAAAAGTTATAAGTAATTGCAAGAGTCCTAAGGAACTATAGCTAATTCAATTCTTTTAAGGGAAGTAGTTAATGAATGAACTAAATATATAAATAAAATTATTAAAGAGCTAGAGATTAGGAACTAGATGCTGAACTTATGATGCACATTTATCCTTGGCAGTTGGCAGTTGTGATACTTGCTCCCAAAGAAAACATTCACATCAGATTTTAAATAGTACTCCCTCTAGGCTCTATCTCAAAAAGGCCAAATGCTCTGGTGGACCTAATGTCAACCCCTTCCTAGGTGGACCTTTATATAAGGGTGGTAAGAAAATGCTTACTGCCTGATTTTTTTTTGCAAAAAAAAAAGAATAAAAAAGTTTCTTATGTGAGAAGATCCACAAAAAATGGTGTGGACCTTAGTTCCACCAAAGTAGTACTCCTGAAAAAGATGTGTACATGACTGCACCTAGTTTTTGATAAAGTGGAAACCGTGCTTGAAATTAATGCAAAGGAGAGAGAAAATTACAAGCCACATAAATCTTCCACGTATAGACATATACACATCTTTTTGGGACAAACAAAGAAGAAAAACATGCAAGTCTTTTTGGGACACAAAGAGTAGTAGTGGTTACGAGATGTATGAGTTTGTCGTCTTGCTCAGTGCTTTATTGGGTGAAGGATCAAGTAAAACTGAAGTGTACCTGAAGATCATGTCCATTTGTATATAAAAAAGCAAAATAATGTGTGGGTATATGCCACAGATTTCAATGACGAGACATCACTAAAATTGGGCTATCATATCTCCAGGTGTAGGGGATGTTATCATCAACAATATATGATGTTGGGGTGCTTTATAGAGGAAAAGAGAAGAGTTTTATTTGATAGGCGTGTTTCACAATTGTGATCCCTTCCATGAACTATCCAGTTCGCTTTTAAGAAGTTTCAACTTTTTTTGGGAAGAGCCTTTTTTGTATTTCCAAGTGTTCAAAAATGGTCAAATATATACTCCCTCCGTTTGCAAAAAGGCTTCCTATTTTGACTTGGAGCAAAAATAAGGAAGTGTTAAATTATAGTTGACTTCCAATTTTGCCCCTGATGTGATGGGTAAAAGTAAGATCTGATGGATAGATTATTAGAGAAAAAGTATGATGTGGTAGGTAGGGTATGGAAAAGTAAGGGTAAAGGTGGTTTTTTAATCGAAAGTGGAAGTGTTTTGTTGGAAGTGAAAAAAGTG